TTTTCATTTTCTTCCCATTTATTGTAAAGAAATTTTGATGTCCTCGAAGTACCGGTACTTCGAGGCTCGTCACCTTAGCTGTAGGTTAGGCCTACCGGTAGCTGTAGGATCGGGCCTTAACAACCGGTAGGTACTGGTGGTTTAAAGAGTGCTTGAAGTTGCCGTGCGCGAAACGCATGAAGGGACGTCATGCATCACAGGTTGGAAGAGGGAGGTAGGGAAGTGGGGGAGGAAGGAACAACGCGGGCAAGGGGGGAGAACAACAGGCCCATACTTACATGAAGTAGGGGAGGAAGCAACAATGCGGAAAAGCGGGGAGAACAGCAGGCCAATACTTACATAGTCAAACATGGGGAACAGCACACGATGGAAGACACTCTCCCAAAACGCACTTGAAAAGCTGTGGCCACGTTCCTTCAGCATGTCGAACAGCACCTGAAGGCATCGCAAGAAAAGAAACCTCAGAGAATGGCAATCAACCAAACTGCTGATCATCGATACACTGGAAAAAAGCACTTTGTCTATCAGCTAGTTAGTCAGCTGCTAACAGGCTAACAGGATTCGAGAAACAGACACCATATTAATTTCCATCAAACTTATACCGTCTATGAGCACAGAGTCAACAGACAAGCATCACAGCCAACGAAAAATAACCCAGTTGTTGTTGGACGAAGAGTAAAAGCAGTGAGTGCATGTGCCTCAAAAAAGGTGCTGTGAGAACCCCGAACTAATGCTGACCTCGACCAAAAAAAAAGGAAAAAAAAGTAAAAAAGAAAAGAGAGCTGACCTCCAGCGCGCATCTCCGAACATCTGCTCTTGGGTCGGATGTTAAGTCTGACAGTCCTGCAAGCATGGGGAACCAGTAATATTCAACAACTTCATGGTCGTCTTTCTTCGGTCCTTCTTCACTGGGCCTTGTAACCAAACCCTGCACAGGGAAAGGGAATTTTTGATGCACAGTGGATAGCATGTCAGTGGGAGACTACAGTACCACGGAAGCAAACAATCAATCATAATGCCACTACTCTTGCCCCTCGATATGTTATCGTCGTGGAAAGAAGCCTGTTTCAGCAAAACTCACGTACATGTACTAAACTACAGTGCTCTATTGCTAAAAAAATTAAGTCGATTTTTTTCTCGTGGTCCGCATCTGGAATAAAACATGGTGGAGACAGCATCATAGGACTCACAAAAGGATTAACTTATTCACCAAAGCAAGTCATAATGTCTAACTGCAAGCTGCTCTCTTAACCCAAATCAGTGGGTCACTTTGCGACGGCGTGTTCCCACACGCCCTTTCAGGCCCGGTCAAGAAGGTACACGTGTATGCCTGCCCTCAGTTCATTGATGAACTCTAGTAACCAACGTGCCATATGGGATCTGTGTTTCTTCATGGAGGTTGCACATCAATATCTCACCTCTATCACCAGCAGGCCCAACCCCACAGGTTCCCCCCCCACCTAGGTGGCTGGCCAGGCAGCATCAGCCCAGCGCACTTGGCAAACCAAAGGCCAGTGCCATCACCCGCAGTCATTTTTCAAGGCATGGATGACCCAGCGCACTTGGTACAATTTCGTTTTTCCTTTTGCTGTCTCGTTTTTCTTTGGTCCTTTTTCTCGGTACACTGGGCCTATCGCCCCCCCCAATCACCTCGACCACCCCCCACCCAACGCCCCATCCCACCCTATTGCCCATCTCCCCCAGGCCAGGTGGGAAGCACCCCCTCCCCCCTCCCCCCTCCCCCCATGGCCACTCGTGCAAGGCCCCGTCGCTAGCATACCCAGCCATGCAGACTTCATCACATGGTCACACTTCCAATGACGACCGTGCAACTTTACCAATTGTGGTGGGTAGCTTAGCAGAAGCTGCTGTGGGTGCAGTCCTATATAGGTGAAATCTTGGAGGGAGACCAAGAGGAGAGCCACATAACGCACCTCTGCAAGCCTGTCTGCACAAATCCTCAGCAGTGCAACCGCCTTCAAACTTATTCCGGCACTCATTTTGTTGTTTGCGAATGAGATCAAGCAATTCACACAGTCCATGAAACAGTCACCTGAAACCTGATCAAAGTGTTCAAGTACAACTGCACAAAAGCCGGCAGCAAAATGAGTCAGCAAAGCAGACAAACAGAACCAACACCCCATCAATCGCCAAATCATTGATACAGTGGTGCCAAAACCTCCAAATCTATGCCCACATGTTCCATCATTCATTATACAACACTCTGAAACACACCAATTTAGCCGCCCTCTCAGACGGCAATATGCTTCGGCAGAAACGAAGTCCATAGGATGGAACCACTTCCAACATTTCCAGAAAGCATAACCTGAAGCTGTCAGGCAGTGCCAGCCATAAACTACAGACATACAGGTACACTGAGCCAAAAGCAGATGTCACAACCATGTACACAACACCATGTACACAAGAGTAGATAAAACAGTACAGGTAACAGCTTACAAAAAGTAATCTGCCATATTCAGTCGCTTTTCTTTCTCGCTCATTTCTCCTTCTTCGGACCTCTCTCTCTCTGTCTCTCTCTCTGTCTCTCTCTCTGTCTCTCTCTCTGTCTCTCTCTCTGTCTCTCTCGCTCGTCTTACGCTGCCTGTCTGACATTTGAATCACTGTGTTGGAAGACCTTGTCTCATCCATGCAAAGCTAAACTGACAAACCAAAAAGCGCATTTGCCCCAGCCGCAGACCTTTGGAAAATAAAGGTGGTAGCCCTTTCTGACCGAAACTCTACCGGGGGGACTCGTCGCTGTAGATTTTGGACTGCAGGTGGTTGCCCTTTCTGACCGAAACTCTACCGGGGGGCCTCGTCGCTGTAGATTTTGGACTGCACTCGTAAACCAGTAAAATCTACAGTGCAGGGGCCATTGGACTGGTAGTTTTATCAACCGAAATGGCATAGAGGGGCACGGCCCTGTGAGGGGACCATTTCCCCACTAACATGGGCAAGAAATGGGCGAAGGACAAGAGTTACTTCCAGGGAAGAGAATGCTTTAGGATGTGGTAGGGTGACCAAGGTAATCCTGAAACAAGCACGAGCCACTCCCCCCACTCTTTTTCAGGGAGGGGCAACCTCACGATTACCAACATATCGGCTAGTCCCGCAGTGATCATCAAGCTGTAGAATGGTGGTCGCAAGGTAAGTAGAGAGGAAGCGGTGACGAGTTCTAGCCAGAGATGAAGTGTTCATATTATAGACACAGGCATACTTTGGGGACTAAGCGTCAGGCAGTCAAAGTTGTATCCAAGCTATAATTGAATGATAGGTTAGACCTTAGATATATCGGCATTGTTGGGACTACGAGCCAGGCAGTGCAGTGCAGGGGTGCAAAAACAACATACCTTGTTCTGCACTGTCAAAAGCCCCATCCACAATAGATTTTACAGAATCTGATGCTGCAGTTGTGAAAACCATGAATACACTACGCCATCCTGACTTGATGCTTCCAACTCTGCAATCAATCATCTGGGAAACCAAGCGTAGAGAAATGCACTTCAGCGGCAGAGGTGGGACAAAACAAAGGAAATTTGTCTCATCGCTGTCTGTTGCCACCATGTGTCAAGTGTTCACCAACTACACCAGAGAGTCACATTTAACTTAGTGGCGTTATATCACGATCAGCAATACGATCAAGAACCGGAGTTCCGCAAAGGTACGAGCAGCGCATGTTATTTTTCTTTTTTTTTGCTCTTTTCTGAAAAAGGGCGACGCCCTTGGCATATCTTCATTGATCGGACAGCCCCTAGGTAATTCGGAATGATTCATTCCATTCATCAAGGTCCAGCAGGATTTGAATTCAGGCCTGTGTTTCAACAATTCATGGGTGTACACGCTATTTTTCTTACGTTTCAATATATATAGCACACTTCCAGAGCAAATATATCACTGTCAAATTCTGAGCAACGCCGGAACTGGAGGGACACAAATAAACGGAAAACGAAAATGAATCAGAAACTTTTCTTGAATCGACACTTCACCCAACCCACCCAAATGTTTTCTAGTACAACCCACCCGCAAAAAAAAAAATCATCATTAACCCCCCCCACCCGGTACTTAATTCATTTACATCTGCGCTCGCCTGTTCACGCTCGTTTCAGTCTCTTCGAACATTTACACACACAATGCCATTGCAACATGATATTGAGATAAAAACCAAATTCATTTATTGAAACACAGTTATCCAATAATAAACCATCAAGTCATCAACATTGAAAAGAAAAGAAACGAAAAATTATTCATCAACACAAGTGAAACGGTATTTCCCAATTCGAAGTAGCTGATGTAGGTACCAGGGCTCGATCCCTAGTTCCCCAACTTACCTGTGTACAATATCTGTGTAGTTGTAGGACTTGAACCTGTGACCTGTAGGATAGCCACTTGCAGGTAGGTCATCGTAGGCACCAGAGAAGTAAGGGATTCGAACCACAGACCTGTAGGGCAAAAATCGAAGTAGGGTCCAGAGGTCTTCTAGAAGGTCGACCAGTGGGCAAGTGGTGTAGCTAAGTCTATTTGCGCCGTAGGACTGTGACATCTGTCGAAGTCAACTGGTAGGACCTCAGTAGGACTGCAGTGAGTCGTAGGTGAGT